ACACAACTGGAGCAGCAAAGTTTCTTGCACGCCTCTCTCGGGGCGTATATAGTTCTTGTACGAAACGTGTCGCCGAAGGAGCAGCTCGGCGTTCGATCATTTCACTCAAGTTTTACACCAGCAGAAACTGCATGGGATTATCTGAAAGGGGTATACATGGCAAAGGATATGATAACTGTGAGTAAAATACTTTCACAGCTGACAAGTGTGCAGATGATGACAAATGAAAACGTCATGGACTACGTTAACCGCGTCCGTACACTACGTGACCAACTGGAGAAAAGCGGGGGATACTTCCCTCGTGAGATGTATCTCACGGTACTTCTGGCTGGTCTTGGACCCGAATGGCGACAGACACGCGCCTTCCTGTGCATGAATCCCAACCTCTCCGAAGCCGAAATTTCTTCTTATCTTCAAGCAGAGCAGCAAGATCTTGATTTGCAGTCACAACGCAACCAGAAAAGGGGGGTTCATTTGAGTTTTTACTCCAATCCAGAAACACAGCATCGACATCCACCAAAATATCCATTCTGCCATTTCTGTAAGAAACCAGGACATACTTACCAAAACTGTCGCAGCCGTCATAAAAATCGTCGAAACACTTCACAGCCGTATCACCGGTCGCAGCAGCAACCGAAGACACGACCACCACAGCAGCAGTTAACGTCTCAGCAGCAGCAGATACCGAAACCGCCGCAGAATCCATCGACGTCGCAGCATCGTCCGCCGGTCTTCGCATCTGCCACATCAGGAAAAGGGGTTTTCGGATGTGTTACCACAGCTGATGTTTCAGAAACAGATTTCGAAACACGACTTGAAGAAACTACAAGTGCTGAAGGCATTCCTTTACCTCAAGTTTATGCTAACCTTGCCCGAATAATTTCAGGTCCGAATACCTGGTATCTCGACAGCTGCTGCGGTTGGCATATGTGCTCTGCAGAAACAAGCTTCATCACCAACCAGCGTCCACTTCGTCGTCCGATACCTGTCACAGTCGCAAACGGACAAACGATAATGACACGTTCAGTTGGGAGCGTAATGCTCGAATCTATCGACATAGGATACTCACTACATGTTACTAATGTCCTTATCGTCGCTGGTCTTGGCTTCAATCTTCTCTCCACGGCTCAACTCCTGGCACACAAAATCCACACACAGGGCAATTGTGACACGATGGATCAGGAGCTCTGGCACAGTTCAACGAATACTTATCTTGGTCGTGCCGCCACTCAACATGGCGTGTCAGTTCGTCAGTTCGCAGCACAGGGAACTTCTGGAGATTCAGAACGCGTGCTTGCACTTGGTCCCTGGGATCACCAAGAAGAAACAGATTATCAACACGTGGACATTGACTTCCGAGCAACTACTGTACCAACAACTTCTCGAACTGCAGCCGCCGTACTTACCGCGTTGGATACCTGGGAGTTCAATACCGCCGATGAAAGTGCCACCGCATGGCGAACATTTTATAATACCCGTGCAGCCTTCCAAGGAACTCCAGCACCACTTTGGGGAGAGATTAGTGGACTAGCAGCTGATGAACCTGCCGTCGTTGAAGAAGCCGAACAAGAAGAAGTAGCTGAGCAGCCGAGTCCAACAGTAGCTGTCGTCGAAACACATGCCACGACATCAACAGAAGCAGTATCAAAAGTTGCACTCGCACCTGCAGCAGCATCTTCAAATATCAGGTTATCACTTACACGTTTCGTCGAAGGAGACGTTGACCGATCACCAGCACTATCTACTTTTATCATTTCTTCTTTCTATACTAACGCCGATTTTTACTTGCGATCATCAGGACACAAAGCATCAGAAGACATGACATCCGCGGTTAGGACATCCATCACAGGGAATACTTAATCATTCAATCCGAGCAGCAGTTCTTGATAAAAGCAGTCTTCTTTTACCTGACGGCACCGAGATGAAGCCGCAGACTCGTCCCACAGTTCGCACCACGTGTCCGGTTGCCAACCTTACTCACGAGCCGTTTCCAAGTCATTTTCCTGGCTCAACACGTTATAAACTGATGCTGAAATCTACAGCGACATCCTAAACTTACCTGAAGCAGGCCCTCAAGACGAGAAGTACGTGATAACATTCATCGAAGCATCTACACACTACGTCTGGACAGCAAACCTTCCAGCTCGTTATCTCGCGCACTCCGTTTTCGCCGCGTGGCTCGCTGTCGTTGAACGAGAGTCTGGACTAAAACTGCAAGAATTCCAGAGCGATGGTGCAGGGGAGTACACCAGCAACACTTTCAAAGAACACCTTCAGACACTCAGCATCAAATGGAAGCAGTCTCTGCCGCATGCACACCAGCAGATGGGGGTAGCAGAAAGGATGAACAGAACTCTGCAGGAGAAGATGCGTGCTCTGCTGACACTGGCAGCTCTTCCACCGCGTTTTTGGCCGTATGCGATGGACCACGCCGTGCTGTTACACAATCTTCTTTCTTCAACGTCCCTGTCCGAGTTTTCTTCTCCGCATCTGCAGTGGACACGTACAGTTGGAAGCACACAACTTTTACGAGTTTTCGGGTGTGTTGTACAGTTTCGTCCTCCAACTGCAGCCCTCGGCAAGTTTTCCGAACGAGCAAAATGGGGATACATCTCGGCATCGAAAAACAGTATCACGCGTGGAAGATTTTGGATCTCCGCTCCAACCAAATCGTCCTATCACGTGATTGTCTTTTCTATGAAAGACTCACCTTGCCCGTTTTTCGTGCCCACCAGGCAGCCGCTGCCAACCCCGCCAGGCTGTTTGAAGGATCGCGTGCGTTTGCAACTGACGAGGCCGAAGCTGATGTACAGGACGAGGATGTTTCTGAAGCTTCCGAAGCTGCCGCAACTGACATTCCCGAACCTGTAACCTCGACTGGCATACCAGAATTTATTCCTCTTGCCGATGCTGACCCGGATGACGTTCGCGAAGTTCATCTCAGTTACGAACGTGATCGCCAACAGCAGCCGATGCCCGTCGTCTCGGACGAAGCAGTTTGTGTTACACTAGACGAAATTGGGGGGGAAGAAGGACCATAAGAAAATTTCGCAGGTGCAAACGAATAACGTCCGCGTTTTACAGAAACAGGATTACAGATACTGGGATTTGCAGTAGCAGTACAGTGCAACGACAGTAAGATACCTGAACCGAAAACCGTCCGACAAGCTCTTACGAGTCCTCACCGAGAAAAATGTCGCGAAGCCATGGACAGAGAGCTAGCAGCTCTGAAGAGTCGCGGAACATGGGATTTAATACCGACTTCAGAAGTAAAAGGGAAGAAGGTACTTACCGGAAAATGGGTCTTCCGCGTCAAGAGTAATGCATATGGGTCGTTTGAAAAGTTCAAGGCGCGATGGGTCGTCCGCGGGTTCGAACAGACTTACGGCATTGACTATGAATTAACTTTTGCTCCTGTCGGCCGACATACAAGCGTTCGGATTCTACTCTGTGTCGCCGCTTGCCATAATCTGCGACTTCGACAAATCGACGTGTCGAATGCGTTTCTCTGCGCGCCCGTCGACGTACTAATCCTGGTAGAGTACCCGCATTCCTATGTTACTAACCCACCGAGCGTATGCCGTCTACGAAAATCCCTGTACGGCATTAAGCAGGCACCACGGCTCTGGCAGCAGTACCTCCCCTCACAACTGACTACTGCTAGATTTTGACAGTTACCGCATGATCAGGGAATGTATCTACTGACCGACGGCAGCAACTATATTTTACTCGTCGCCTACATCGACGACATCCTATTCGTCAGTACTACCGATTCCCTTGCTGATATCTTCATACTGAAACTACAGAAAACTCTACAGCTTACCGTCTCCGCAACAGTTACACAGTTTCTTGGTCTGAACATTACCTGTTCACCGACGACTGTTCATCTTACCGCTTCGAAGTACGCAGCAACGCTCGCTACCCACTTCAACCTCACACCTACTGCAGTCTCTACACCGTACCGCTCACTACCGACTGACCACAAACCGAACACTGTGCTGTTAAACTCAACAGGTTTACAGATCTATTAACAGCAATTAGGCTGTCTACTCTTCGTCGCTGTCACCTGTCGTCCTGATCTAGCCTACGCGGCTAGCCAACTCGCTTAGTCTCTACGCCGTCCTGAGGAAGAGCATCAGCTTGATCTTCTCTGCGCGGTTCAGTATTTCATCTCAACACCTGATGTCGGTTTAGTCTACAACGTCATCGGTTGCAAAACACTCTACCTACACGGTTTTGTCGACGCCGATCACGCTGCTGATTCTACTAATCGACGGTCGCGCACTGGATTCATCTACCGGCTTGAACCTATCGGACTATTTCTTGGAATTCGACGAAGCAGGAGTTGATTGCTCTCTCCTCTGCTGAAGCTGACTTTATTGCTGTCTGCACAGCAACACGCGAAGGACTTTACTTACAGGAATTATTGGAAGAAGCGAAGTTGACGACAACTACCCAGTTTACCCTACAGTGCGACAATCAAAGTGCAATTCGCATCGCGCATCAGCCTGGTTTTGTCAACAGGACGAAACATATTTCTCTACGTTAATTTTTCGTCAACGATGAAGTCGAGAAGGGGAGGATGCGATTGGTCTACTGTTCGACCAACGAAATGGCTGCCGATTTTCTCACGAAGAAGCTGACACGACAGAAGTTCCAGTACTGTAACAAGCTCTGCGGAATCTTCAAGAAGTGACACTATCGAACTTCCAGAAATGAAGGGGAGTGTTGTGATATAATTGATACTTCGCATTTCTGCAAGTCGATTAAGTGTAGATAGTGTCGAATCGTACTGTAGAAGATAAGTCCGTGGGATGACGTCAGCAAATAGCGCTTGTCATAGGACAGTCGTTTCTGTCACGCGAACAGTCGCACCTCTTCATTGACATTTAGGGCGCATAACGCGATAGTGACGAACAGGTACATTAGCGAATAGGTACTTTTATTAGAACTATAAATCTCTGTTAGGTCTTTTCACTATTAACTTTGATTACTCAAAAGTTCATGTACTCAGGTTATTCAACCTTGACCTTTACATTTTACAAGACTTCCGCTGTCTTACTAGTCTACCATTCCAGCAAAGATCCTGGACCGACACTTGAGGATTTGCCAAGTGTTCTTGTTTATAGTTTTATACCTACTCTCCTACAACATCAGACGATTTATTTCAAACTCCACCCAATCTTTCATTTAGGTCTGCCCTTTGGCAATCTTTGACAGGTCGCGCACGCTCATCGGAACAATGGAGTCCTGGCGACCCACAAACGAGTTTCGGGCGAGGATGCGGTTGAGGGACTCAGAGGGATGAAACTGGTCCCAGAACACTGCGTCCTGGGGACGGCTGCACTCCGTTGCGGTTACCGGGTTACCGCCCAGGTTAGCGGCTGTGCCGCACTGCACGAGGCCGTTGAGGGGAGGCGGGCCGCCGCAGCAAGCGTTGCTTCCCTCCAGGAGGCCTGCGGGTGAGCAGTGAGCAAAGGGGGGGGGCAAACGAGGGAACGAGGGGACAAGGGGGCGGAATGGAGGGGAAGTAGGGTTGGGAGAGGTAGGCACTTGATAAGTTTCGCCACAGCACGCATTGCTTCCCTCCAGGGGCCCTGCAGGGGAGAGAGAAAAGCGGAGAGGCATACGGTGCCAGTGGTGTCATTTGCATGGCTTCCTTCCAGCAGACCTGCAGTGGAGGGAGGAGAGGTTGAAGAATGGTGATGGTAAATGGGGGTACACAACAGATCACAACCTTGGATGGACTGAACCCCCGGGGTGACCGAATTGACAGAACCCCCGGAGCGACTGAATCAAAAGCGCGGCAAGAGCATAGGTCTTGCTTGATGACAACAGAGCAGACCAGAAGGGAGTGAAAATGAGTGGTGAAGAGGGTTGGGGGGGTGTTACAGAGAGGGTGTGAGAGAGTGAGCCAGAAAGAGATAGAGTACGAGAGAGGAGAAGCAGAGGTTGAAGGGGGGTAGAGAGAGTGCTAATGCCTTCTGGGCAAGTGGTAAGCAGCAGGGCAAGAGAATGAACCTACCAACAGTGGCCGGGTCGGCAACTGCGGTCTCCACAAGACCGTACACCTTGGACAGCAGGATGTGCGAGTCAGGGAGTGCGTTCCTCAGCACGCCTACAGCAGCGGCCAGCAGCTTGTTATGCTCCTGGGCATACGCATTCAGCACCGCCACGCACTGCGCCTGCTGCAGCGCCTGCCGCCAGAACGGCGCGCACCCAAACGGCGGCAGTTCACTCAGCAAGAACCTCCTCGCCCCAAGCCCATACAGGCTCCTCACATAGGCCTCAAGAGCGGATACCACCGCGGACGCGAACCCCCTCATCTGCTGCGTGCCTCCCGCGGCCAGCCTGGGGATGGTGCTTGAGTTGACTCCCTCTCCGAAAAAGAGGATCTGGTAGTCGTTGGCGCCCAGCCCGATGACGTGCAGTGCGGAGGGGAAGACCGCGGGGGACCTGGGGAGGCTGGGGTCGGAGCCCGCTGCCGCATTGACGGCGGACTGAAACTCGGTGTACCACTGCAGCTGCTGCGATGCTTGAAAGGCCGGGAGGGTCTGGAGCAAGGCAGCAGGACAAGGGGGATAAGAGAAAGAGGTGGGGCTGTCGTTGAATCAGAGATCGGAAGCTGCTCTGAGGCACTACTAGTGCAGATTGGAGCCTGGTGCTGCGTTGGGCTCAGCTTGGAGCTTGGAGTGCCAGTGCAGCTGCTTGGAAGCTAGGAACGCGGGGACGATTCGCAGAAAGCTTTTGAGTTGAATCAAAGCTCAGCTTGGAGCTTGGAGTGCCACTGCAGCTGCTCGGATGCTTGCAACACGGGGAATGTCCGCAGCAAGCGTGCAGCACAAGGGAAAGGTGACAGAATCGAGGGAGAGGAACAGGGTGAAAGCTAGTCTTATGCAGGAATACCTACTTCGGTTGAGCACAACAGCAGGGACTAGGCAACCAGGACTGGCAGCTGGTGAAAGAGAGAGAGCTGGAAATCGGAAGTCGGCAAAACTCGCACCCTGAGGACCAGCACCAGCAGTGGCGAAGCTGCTGTTGAAGCGCGCCAAAAACAGAACACAAGAGATGTGAGGAGCCGGGCGTTACTCACGTATCCCGTGACGCTGAAGCTGGCGCCAGCACTAGCACATGTAAGTCGACCCAATTGTCATCTCACACATGCACATCCCCGCTCGGCGCGTTACTCACGTATCCAGTGATGTTGAAGCTGGCACCGGCGCTGGCGAAGCTCACTTGTAAGTATCAGCGTATAAAAACCAAATCAGCATATCGGCATATCAGTATGTTACTACTTACGTATCCCGTGATGTTGAAGCTGGCGCCAGCGCTGGCGAAGCTCACTCCGAGCGTCGCATTTCGGCCCGGCTGCAGGTACGGCGGGGGGGATCCGGGGAAGCCCAGCCACTCCGCTGAAGGGAGACAAGTAGAGATAGAGAACGGCAGGGAAAGGCAGGGAAAGGCAGGGAAAGGCAGGGAAAGGCAGGGAAAGGCAGGGAAAGGCAGGAACGGGATAAGGAAAGTCAGCTGAGGGAGACACGGGAAAGGCCAGCCACTCAGCTCCAGGGAAAAGGGGAGCAGGTATGTACGGCGGGAAAGTCAGGTGAAGGTAAGGGAAGGCTGCAGGTACGGGGGGGGCCATGCAACAAGGGGGGGCGGGGAAGGGGTTCTTACCAAGGAAATCGACGGTCAGCTTGCCATCGCACACGCGGCCCGACGCGGGGATGTAGTTAGTGCCGTACGGCGCGAAGTTGTTCTTAGGCCAGTCCGCCGGGCCGTAGTTGTTGTTCCCCACGTCCAAGAGCGAGTCGCCGAAGACAAAGATGGCATCGATCGGGCCAGGACCGTTGCCGGGTGACGACGTCGCATGCGCGGGCCTGGCGACGACATCGCAAAAAGTGTCACGTTCGCAAAACGTTTACGCCATTTTGGGCGATGCACAAAGTTGGAGATCATCCGCAAAGTGTTCGCCAAGTATTTGTTAATCGTTTCGATTCATGTGAACGGTTTGCGAGTGTTGCGCGGTTGAGATGTTTTGCGGATGCATTGTTGTGGAAAGGTTACAAAATACTGCATTGTTGTATTTGCGTAACTTAAAGGCTCATTAAAGTGTTAATTTTCACCATGGTTATTGTATAGAAATGGTGAAATGGTTTTTGCACTGCATTGTCTGTCTTTCACAGTGCAGCAGCAATTGATGGCACGGAGTCTAGCATGCTCGTGCAAAATCGTTGGAAGTGCGATTGTTAGCACATACTTATGGTAGTCGTAATGAATGTAATTTATAAAGGGTGGCAGGGGACACGTGCATGTCGAGTCAGAAGAGAAAACGGTTAACAAGCCGGTACTCAGGCTCTGTGCAGCTTGGGACTACATGGGCAAGGCTTAGGATGCAATCCATGTCAATGACAGCGTAGTTGTCGATGCCCGTCGTTGGGCTCAGGCGCTTGCACCCGGTGTCCGGGCATGGCCGCGGGTGCTCGGTGTAGTACTGAATGTAGGCGGCACGACCCTCCACACCTGCATCGTCAAGGTAGTGGAACAGCACGAGGGCCCGGCCGTACCACGGTGGGCCGACTCCATCTGCGGGCTTGATAGAGACGTCAGAGAAGAGCCACTCATGCGGGGTCGCCTTCACAAACTGTCCCTTGGCCGTCCACTCCATGCGGTCGTGGGGGGGGATGGCCATGGCCGTGTGCACCTGCATGCACTCGGGTAAGAGTGGCATGGACGGGCGGAACAGCAAGGCGGGATTAGGGAGTGGAGGTTGGGGGGACATGCGGTGAAGGGTTTCAGCGGAAATGAGGGTAATGCACATGCGATGCGGGTGTTGGGAGGGAGGGGTGGGGTGGGGATGAGATAAAGCAATACGCGAAAGGGTTTCGGTCAGGGTCGAGACCGGCATAGTTCTTAACTAGACGGGTTAAGAGGGCACACTTCATGGAATCATGAACACCAGCACCTCCCACAAGTGTGGCTTGCAAGTTCATAGGAGCGTTGAGGAGGCAGATGGGGAGTTGGGATGGTTAAGCACTTACCCAGACAGTGCGCGTCGTGATTTTGGCGAGGTCCATCTTGTTTGCCATTTCTCGCATCGCCTCCACGCCAGCAGTACGTATGTAGGACAAGAAAACGGTGTCCAGCTGGTCCCCCACCACCATGCGCCTGCAAGTCTTCGTCATGACCCTCTTGCCAAGGAGGGCCGCCTGTGGGGGACGGTGTCGGGTACACGGGGTGGTTAGTGCGTTTGGGAGGGTCGGGGTGGGTTAAGGGACAACCTGAAGGGGAAGGGGAGGATGGGAGTGGGGAAGGGGGAATCCTATGAGGTGATAAGGCAGACAAGAGATGTGTAGGGTGAATGTATAGAAGAAGGATGGCTGGTGGGAGAGTGGAGGGCTGATTTCCAAGATCGGGGATAAAAGTATGGGGATGAGGGAGTGTGCTGTCAGGGAGTGGGGAAGGGTGATGCCAGGGAGGGGTAACAGCAGTGGGGGGTGGGTGAAACACAAGGGGGTGGAGGGCGGATGGGGTTGGGGGAGGGTGAAATCAAGGACGGCGAGAGGCAGATGTGAGAGGGGAACACCTACTGAATACAAGGTCGACAGCCCCAAAGGTGGGGTGGAGGAGTGGGGGCGGAAGGGAGGGGGGGAGGGAGGGAAGGGAAGGGAAGGGGGGAAAATGGGGGTACGGGAGAAGGGGGCATACCTGCTTCATTGCCGTCTCATAGGTGGCGTCGCCTCCCACCTCTCTCGTCAGTTGCCGCACGACCGCATGCTGAATGTGCTTCTTCACAATCCTCTGGTCGACATTCTTCCAGTTCGAGCCCCGGGAGGGCCGCTTGACAGTGGTCTTGTGGGCGTGCTCGTAGGAGTTGCTGGAGTACTCGTGGGGGAGCCCACGTGCCTTGATCGTCTCGGAGAGGTGGCAGATGTCATGGATCTTGACAATCCCCCACCCCGACTTCTGGTTTTCGAATGCCGTGCCTAGGGAGTCGACCATGCTATGCGGTGCAGACGGGCAGATAATGGGTCATGGGGGATTGGGGGTGGGGGAAGTTGGGGGTGGGTGGGCGGGTTTGGAGGAGGTGTGATACTCATAAAGGTGCACAACAAAGGCACGGCAGGGGGGGCTTCCGCGGATGTAAGGGGGGACCAAGCTTCGAGGGAGTGGGGAGTGGGTGCAGGTAAGCAAGGTGAACGTACTCCTTGCCGTCGCTCGTCAGCTTCACTAGCGACTCGTCGGTGTGGTACTCCGCACGGATGTGCTCCTTGTACCATGTCACCATGCGCACGACCGCCTCCCGCTGTGGCTCCCGCTTGTCGAGGATGAGGATGAGGGGGAGCACTTGCATCACTGCACGGTGCTCAGACGCCGCGAACCCGGCGGTCGTGGAAAAGTACATCCACCCGCCGGGCAGTCGCAGAAGGAAGGACGGCGTCACTGCCTTGATAGCGGAGTATCGGCTGGGGGGGGGGGTGGGGAGCACAAGGAAAGTTTGGGGGGAGGGCGAAAGACAAGGGAGGCAGGGGACATGTGGAAGGACGTCACGGACTACAAGGACCAGTATGAGTTGGAGAAAATAAAAGGCAACACACAGCGGGTGAAGCAGCAGCTCACTTGAGCAGGATGCCGCGCTCCGATGGAGTGAGCTTAGCGACCAGGCACTTCATGGCATGCAGCCACCACCCTTGCTCTATCATGTGCATGATGCATGGAGGGAGTGCTAGGTAGATGTTCCCCCACAGCGTCGTGGAGAACTCCCACTCCCACAACGCGCACTGGGGATTACCCATGAGGCGGGCACACGTGGCGGGTCGGGATTAGGGTTAGTTTGGGGTGGGTGGAGGGGTGGGGACGCGTTGGCATAGCCCGTGGGGAAAGGGAGAGGGGGGGGGGGAGAAGGGCGGGACATGAGAGGACGGTCCTGGGTTAAGGGGGGGTGCATGAACAAACGGGACAGCAGAGTCCGATGGACACGGCTTTGGGTCTGGGAAAAGATACGTGGCGGCTGAGAGCAAGGACAGGGGGGGGGAAAGGTGGGAGAGCGAGCACGCGAGAAGGGCCGTGTGTGCGGTAGATGAGAGAGGAGGGACACGGAGTAGGGCAGAGGCAACGAGGGTGGGGATGTGTCAAAGGGAGTCGTGGCCACAGCGGGGGGGCGGACATCGGCGGTTAACGGGGGGAGAGGGAAAGGGGGGGCGGGGGTGGGGCCTTGTGGTGCATCGCAAATCGAAGAAACACGTTAGCCAGCAAGTTGTAACTTCTCTGAAATATTCCAGTAAACACGAGAGGTACAACATGCAGACGCTATGGCTTCGTTCGCACAGGACATCGTGCAGAGCAACCATTGGATTCTCGCCAAACAGAGGATCTTTCACTGGATCCCCCCTGCACCATCACCGGGCAAACAGGGAGGCGGACCCGAGAAGGCCAATCACGGAGGTACTCTACCGGCGGCTGCCCCAGTGCCGGCCATGGCACACGCAAGTCCCTCTCGGTGAACGGTGGACGGAACAACATGTAGCAGTTGGGCCAGGGGAAATCCAGGGGATGCGCTGGGTGGGATAGATAGTACCACCGGCGACACACGGCCTGCTGACGCACGAATGGTTTGAGGTCGGGCTTGATGTCTGGCCAATCCCGGCCGTTCTCCCAAAGACCAGTCCGAAGAATTTCGAAGATTTTAAGCCACACATCGTCAGGTAGGTAGGGAAGCTCGCGGGATGGTCCACGCCTGCCATCGTCTGCCATGGTTCAGCGCACAACTATTGGCAAAAGCACGGATGCGACGTACCGCTAGTGCCTTGCGCTGGAGAGTGAGTTGTCGAGAAGGGACGGCAAGGGTACGGGGACTTGCATGGGCAGCGCGGGCTCACTAATCGGCGAGTACGCGAGTGGCCGTGATGGGGGGCGTTTGCCGTTACAGTGTGCGACTGGCAAATCAACATGCGGTGCACCTCGGCGGTACGCTGTACCGCGCGCGCAAGGGAATCGACACCGATAATGGAACAATGTTCAAATGGAATGCCGTAGAACGAGCAACGTTGATCCAGATGCAATGATTAAAAGACACTAACCCGTCCAGCGGGCTAAGGGCAATACGCGGCCGCGAATTGACAAGAGACAGTGACCCGTCGATCGGGCTGGGGGAAATATGCGGCGTGGATGCAGGACAAGATGTTGACGTTAGATGTGACAATCTTAGAACGCTTCGCTAAGTGTTCAAAAAACAATTCCGCAAACGCTTCGCGAAATGTATGAAAAACCTTTCCGCAAACACTTTGCGAACGTTTCAAATGCGTTACGAGTTCCATAACGTTCCGATCACCAACACCCCCCATCTCCCACGAAAGAGGCAGAACCAGAACCCTCCCACTTACTGGCACGGCGTGCGTCGAGTACTTCGACTTGAGGGCAGCCAGGGCGCTTGGCGTCTCCACCCGCTCTGAGCGTTTGAGAAGCCTGTACACCGCCTTCTGGCCCTTGACGGTACGATTCAGAGTTGTCGAGAAGATTTGCTTCAGGTTGTTCTGCTCCACTAGACACATGGAGCATGGACGGAACGACTGGCACTGCATGGTGCACGAGACCTTGGAGGACTCGGGGTGGTCAGTGACGTAGGCGTACAGCACCGGAAACCCCATCGCGTGGTTTCCCGCGTGATCCTCTAACAGCAGCCCGCCACTGAGGGAAGTTCCAGTAGGATGGGGGGTGGGGGGGAAGGTGAGGAAGAGGGAGGGGGGGTGGTGGGCTGAGAGAGTGAGGATCGATGGCGCCTGGATGCGGATGCGTCGTGATACCGGCACAGGAGAGGGTAAGGGTGGGGTGTAGTGGCAACCGCGGGAAGAACCGCAACGCAGTGATGGCTCACCCACTA